AATGATTTATAATCCTTTGGGTATATACCCAGTAATGGGATTGCTGAGTCAAATGATATTTCTAGTTCTAGATCCTTGAGGAATCGCCACACTGTCTTCCACAATGGTTGAAATAATTTACACTCCCACCAACAGTGTAAAAGCATTCCTGTTTCTCCTCATCCTCTCCAACATCTGTTGTTTCCTGACTTTTTAGTGATCGCCATTAAAAAGTCAGGAAACTTGAGACAGAGTCTTGCTCTGCTTCCAGACTGGAGTGCAGTGGCGCGATCTCGGCTCACTGCAACCTCTGACTCCCTGGTTCAAGCGATTCTCCTGCCTCAGCCTCCCAAGTAGCTGGGATTACAGGTGCACACCACCATGCCCAGCTAATTTTTGTATTTTTAGTAGAGATGGGGTTTCACCATGTTGGTCAGGATGATGTTGATCTCCTGACTTCGTGATCTGCCTGCCTTGGCCTCCCAAAGTGCTGGGATTACAGTCATGAGCCACCGCGCCCAGCCTATGTATTCTTAAAATTTGAAATTACTGTAAGCCAACTATAAATAATAGTAAGTGAAGTAATATCACATTAAAATTTAATCTCATTAAAATACTGATTTTTGTCTGTCTTTTTAGAAGTTTTCCCTTTGATCAGTTATATTGAAGAATCTTTGATTAAGGGTGTTAATCAAGTAGGCTGTAAGAATGAAACTCTTATCTCTTGGTAGTACTCTGTCACTGGTATGATTTGCAGGAACAGAGTATAAGATTTGCCGTTTTAAAAAATTGTTAATGATTTTTGCTTATGCTGTGTGACTACGTGGAACTTCTAAGAACATTTCATTTTTTCTCTTAAGTGCACTTTGTTTTTTATTTTATAGTATGTCCAAGATCAAAGTACACTTTAAAAAGCAATACTAAACTATAACTTTAACTGGAATTTGCATTTTTTCTTCTATTCATAATAGTCTCTAATGCAGTGTGCAGGAGAAAGTATCACTCTGTTTAAAAATAAGACAAATGAGGAATTCAGAATTGGTTCCTTGAGAAATATGATGCATTTATTTACACGTTGCTTGAGCAACTGTACCAAGGTAAGATTTTCTTCTTCTCGTTTTGTTTTGTGAGATAGGATCTTTCTCTGTCACCCAGGCTGCAGTGCAGTGAGATTGTCACAACTCACTGTAGCCTTGACCTCCTGCTTTCCAGCAATTCTCCTGCCTCAACCTCCCAAGTAATTGGGACTACAGTCATGTACCACCTAGCTAAAATTTTCTTTTTACTTGAAATTGTAGCCTATGCAGGGGACTGATTACTGGTTGGTGTTACTGTTTTGGTGTCCACTCGTAAGTTTATTTTTTACTTTTATGTTTATTCTTTTTTTTTGATGCAGTCTCTCGCTCTTTTACCCAGAGCGAGTGATCACATCACTGCGTGGATCGCAGTGATGTGATCACAACTCACAGCAGCTTTGACCTCATGGGCTCAAGTGATCCTCCCACCTCAGCCTCCTTAGTAGCTGGGATTACAAGTGTATACCACCATGCCTGGTTGATTTTTGTATTTTTGTATTTTTTTGTATTGATGGGGTTTTACACATTGCCCCGGCTAGTCTTAAACCCTGGGCTCAAGTGATCCTTCCACCATGGCGTCTCAAAGTGCTGTGATTACAGGTTTGAGCTACCATATCTGGTCACATTCATAAGTTACACAAACCGATTTAAAATTAAATTGAATGGTACATAAAGGTAATATCCAGACGAATAAGCAATAGGAATCTGAGTTTCTCATGAAACTAATTTTATCATTTCAGGAAGTTTTCTGAGATTGTCTTACAACTTTTATATACAACCATAAAGATGACTCTTTTATTCCTAGGATATTTTCATTCATTTAATAAAAATTTTTTGACCTGAGCTATGTGGTATGCATAGCAGGGCTAGTGAGCAGCACAACAATAACTCCAGCACATACTTTACTTTCTTTTGCTCAGATCATCTTACATAACATTTGGTAGAAAGAGTGCTACTGTGTGTAATCTTTATTTTTATCTGCAGCAGCCTGTGGGGTAGCCAAGCCAGGCCCCAGAGTATTGATAATAATTGGAAATATATTTGAAACCCAGTATTAGGTACATGGCCATATATCAATATTATCAACGTATTTCTTGGTTTTGTAATGTGTTTTTCCTCCCTTTTGGTGTAAGTGGGGAAGGAGAAAAGTAGAAGAATAAACTCTAACCTATAATTATAGCTTACTTATGTTTAGGGTCAATAGCTGTTACTTTAATGTTGTTAAAGCACAATGAAAGATGCACAGTACAGTTATTATTACTCTAAGAAAAGATGTATTTTTGAAGCAGTGTATATCTTGGCCCTGATAGTAAACTATTTATCTACATTGCATTCAAGATAGAGAAAACATTATCTGCCAAGAATAATTGTTTTTATTTCTTTGTTGCTTTGTTCTTTGTTTGTCTTAATTGCAGAAGAGTCCAAATAAGATTGCATCTGGCTTTTTCCTGCGATTGTTAACATCAAAGCTAATGAATGACATTGCAGATATTTGTAAAAGTTTCGTAAGTATGCTTCCTTTTTTTCTTACCATATTTTGATTCTAATAGGCATA